TGACGGCTAGCTCCGTGGGAGGGGGCGTCTGAGACAGAGGGTCAAGTCCTTGGGGCAGAAGCTAGGGTTCTTTTTCTCCAGAGCATGGCAGGAAGGTTCAACATCTGCGGGCACCGCTGCAGCCAAAGCCCCCGAAGCATCCGGGGGAGCCGCAGAGCGCGCAGCCGCCGCCAGGGGCGCTCGTGTCCAGGGCGCCGGAGCCCGCTCGGGGAGGCAGCAGGTTGGCCAGGCCAGAGGCTGAGCCCAGCCCGCTGCCCAGGGCTGAGCAAAGCGCGGCTGTCAGAGGAGAAGCCGTCTTCTCCCGCTCCGCCCCCAGAAGACAGACATACAGACTCCTCTCCCAGAGAGTAGCCTCAAAGACCCTCCTCCTCTCCAGGAGTCAGAGGTGCAAACTCCCCAAAGACCAAGGGGTCTTGGTGCAGACCCCTTCCTCCAAGAAACAGACTCCAGAAGGCCCCCCTCCCTGAACTCGGACACTCAGGTTCTCCCCACGTGAGAATCAAACAGTCTCTTCCACAAGGACAGACCCACAAGAACACCCTCCCACACCCCAGGGCAAACCAACAGAACCTGACACCCAAAGAACAGACCACAAGACCTCCCCCTTCAACACACACAAAGAATCACCCCCGAGAGAATAAACAGCCCCCCACAAAAGGGAGACACACAGAGGAAGCAGATCCCAAATCCCAAATCCCTTCCCAAGAGAATGCACACAAAGGGGTGTGGGGGATAAGATTGAACTCCTCTAACCCAAGCTATGTCTATTATTTACTTACTGAAGCTTCCTGCCCCAAATCCCAGACCAAGCCTGCGGAGAGAAGGAGGAAGCAGGTGAGTGAACATTCCTCCTGGGTATAATAATCCCCATTCTCCAAAACAAAACTTTCCTGGCCCTGCCCGGACGGGCAGAGAGATGTACATGCCCCTGGTTCTCTCAGATCCCCACAGCCTTTTGCATCAGACTCCTCTGGAGCTTAAACTCGATCTTTCCTCCTTAAATTCAGATAGTCCGATTTTATCGATGACCTCTTGGAGGAGGGAGAAGGCTAACGACGCTTTGTTTGGCCTAAACTTAGCCTAAAAGGGGAGACCATGAAGGGAACATTTTAAAGGACACTATAGAGGAGATAGCTCAATCATCTGAAGACTATTGGTCAAGCCACACCCAGTCGCTTTCTACCTGTGTGTCCTTGAGGTGGTCCTTTACCCTGAGACTCAGTTTCCCCATCTGTAAAACGGGGATGACAGCACCTCCCTCCCAGGGGTTTTGTGGGGTTGAAAGATAATAAATGCTGCATGCCTGTTGCATGGCGGGTTCCCTGTCCCTCCCCTCAGCCTGGGGTACCCAGCTGGAGCTAGCAGCCCTTGGGTCTCTACTGCAGTCTGAGGTTAAAAGCCAGGCCCTGCCTGTTCCCATAAACCCTGCCTTCGGGGCAAGAAGGGCAGAACTGAGAAGGCACTCCAAACTGGACACACTATTGCCCCCTGGCTAGGCCTTGGTCCTTGCAGCTGCCTCACTGGACAGACTGGCCCCTGCTCTCTGCCCTTGGGGGTGTGTGACCATGTGTCGGCCCATCCCAGATGCCCATCCCTAAAGGGCCTTAAGCTGGTGGGGAGAAATTGGCTCCAGGAGAACAAGGCCCTGGACCCCCAGGTCTTCTCTCCCCACCACCCCCCCTCCCCAGCTGGTGAGGACCCAGATGGTGACCTCCCTGGGCCCCTGCACTCCTTGCCGTGGCCACACCCAAAGCACCGCCCAGCCCCCACCTGCTCTCCTCGTCCTCCAGCAGCTTGCGGTAGGTGGCGATCTCGAAGTCCAGGCCCAGCTTCACGATCATGAGCTCCTGGTACTCTCGCAGCTGCCGGGCCATGTCCTGCTTGGCTCGCTGCAGGGCGGCCTCCAGCCAGGCCAGCTTGCCCTGGGCACTATCTGAGGCACTCTCCTCCTGCAGAACTAGTGGCTCCCTGGCTCTGTCTAGTTCACAGGGCTGGGGGCGAAGGGAAGAGCACGGACAGGACATCCTTGGCCCCCACCCCCTCCCCCATCAAAGATCCAGACCCTTCTTGGAAGCCAAAGGGCCAATGAGGGATTAGAGATCACTGTATGGAATGGGCCTTCCTGTTCCAAAAAATGTGTCTGTGTCTGCCCAGCTCCCAGTGTGGAGATTTGGGACCAGCCATCCGAGATGGCTGAGACAGAGCCTTTCACGTCTAATACGGTAACTCTTCTCAAAGGAGCTAGGATCCAGGAAGCATCAAATGCTCCTGAGCACATAATGCTAGGTTTATTATTTCATCAGGGAAACTAACAGGAAGGATATCCTTTCCTCACCAGAAACCAGCCTCCGTAGTCTCTGCAGAAATAGAACAATAATAAACGCTGGCCTTGATGAGCTTTGCTGGCTGCTTAGGGAACTGGGGGTGGGGGATTGGGGGACTGTGATCAGAACAGCAGAGGCCGGTGGCAGACTGAACCGTGACAGGCCCATCCATTCACTGTGCCACCCCCTTGAACCGGAACAGCTTGTCCCTCCTCACCGTCATCAGTTCCTGAAGAAGGGAGGGCCCCTCAGAGCCTCAGACACTTGTATCCACAGAAAGCAGGGGGAAACAGGAAACAGAACCCCTTCCCTCTGCAGGTAAAGTATGAGCCCAGGGGGCTTGACAGGGCAGCTGGGAGGAGAGAGGGGAGACTGAGAGGCAGAGAAGTCGGAAGAAAGAAAACATCCACGTGGGAACCTCTCTTTCCTAAGCCTAGCTGCAAACCCGAATGCCTCCAGAGGCCTGGCTGGAGGCATCCCAAGGTGAAGGCCAAATGTCAACCCTCTAGCAATAGGATCCAGTTCCAGAAAGAAATCCGCACATTGTCAGTCTCCCACAATCACCAGGACCTCTTTCACGGTTTCAGCCTCTCACACCTCTAATTTAGAGACGCGGGTGTTGGTACCCTTTGCCTTCCACAAGGATAATAACAGCACCAGCCAAGATGATGACAAAATGGCAAGAGCCCTCTGCCTCTGCATCAAAGGACGCAGCTCAGGGTGGTGGGGTCGATGCACACAAAAGGAGCACAGCCTTGTGTGAAGGCGACAGAGAAGACAGAAGCCTCCCGTCCCTAGCAGAATGTTGCCAACTCCGTGCATTATTTAAAGAGAACCCAGAAAACCGGATTTCTACGGAACGTCTTGCGATTCCCAAAGAAGGGCTCAAGTTTAATGCTATGTAGGACAAACAAAGCATGCAGATACAAAATCTCACGTGCGCATGAAAACTGATAGGCAAACAAGCGTACAGATTTATACGTATTTTACCTACGGGTCAGTTACGTGCCCACATGAACTACTACAGAGTCCCAGGCAAAGGCAGCGTGATGTACACGTGTAAAGCCACACTTCCGTTTGTTCGGACACTCACAAAGAGAAACTCTACCCATGTACTCCAGAGGAGGGGGACGACTAGTCGAGCTGTCATAGATAATGGACACCCTCCCACCGTTCATCACTCCGGTGCGCCACCCCCACCCCTCACCTGACTCTTAGCACTGTTCACCTCCGCAGTCAGCCGCTGGATGGCCTGGTTAAGCCTGTTCAGCTCCTCCTTGCTGTGTCGCAGGCCCTGCGTGTGTTTCTGCATGGTCGCCTGTACCTCCTCGCACTATGGGGCGGAGGCAGCACAGGACAGGGGAGGGTCAGGGCGAGGAGGACAGCCAACAAGGGCACTCAACCGAAGCCCGCAAGACAGCTCCAGGACCAACCCCTCCACCTTCCCTCATGAGCAGGTCATCTGACTACTCTGGGCCTCTGTTTCTCTGTCTGGAAAATGGGGATGATCGTCTTTCCTATTGCCGAGGGTTGACGGGCACACTGGCGGATGCTCTATCGGGTCTAGAGATGCCAAAGGTAATGTCGAAGGGATGGCACAAAGAACAACGCAGGCCGATAATCTGTCGAGTCATTGGACTGAGATCACATAGGGTTTATCCCAGGCAACAGGGGTAAGTTAGACTCCAGCAAATCAGTTATGGTCATTCACATAGGATCGTGGCAATTAATACAAACACCATTTTTAAAGATCCAGCAGTGATTCCTAATTTAAAAGTACTTTCGAAAATCTCTGAATATAAAGAAACTTCTTTAACTTGATGAATGCTACTAATCAGCGACAGGGATCCAGATTCCAGCTCCTTCGCTAAACCCAAGGCCACTATGGGGAGAGCTATCTAGAAGGGACAAAATCAGGGGGCCTTTTCCCTTTCCTGCTCCTGTCCTCACATACCAGCCCATAAACCGCCTGGGCTCGGTAACTGACGCACAGGGCCTTATTCTCTTCAAGGTCTTCTATCTCCACCGTCTCACCTGGGCTCAAGACCACCGTGAAGTAGGCCAGGTGGGTGTTACTGTCCCCCTTATCCTTCCTTGGGCAAGCTGAAGCTCATTACATCTACTGTCCGAGGAAGTAGGGACCCAGTGGGACATGAGTGACCCTGCCAGTCGAGCTGAGCTAGACTGCATCTTAAGTGCATGTTCTTTGCTCTACACCCTGAGGAACATTAAAGTCACACACACTCTTCACCCCAGCCAACAGGAACTGTTCACGCCAAACCCAGTGCAAATTGCTTTCCAGGGCAGAGCGGGTATGGGAAATGGATATGAACAGACTCCCACAGGCCACCCTTTCCGGGTCCCCTTCCCAAAAGCTGTAGACACAGCAGACAAGCTTGTGCCCGGCTAGGTCCAACAGATCCGGGCAGAGTCCAAGACCCCCTCATCCCATGTGACCCAAGTGCCACATAGACAAGTCTCACCATGATGAAAAGAGCTGTCGTCTCTCCAAGCCTCCGGAGCGCACCTCAGCCCAGCTCCAGCCCAGGGAGCTCCCAGAATCCTCGCCTCTGGGGACAAAGCTGCTCCTTCCCAGGGGGCTTTGTGACCTCACCTTGCAGAGTTCTGACAGGGGCCGGAAGGGGCTGTTCTGTCAGCCCAGGTGGGAGAGTGGAGGGCCCTGGCCTGGAATGGGCCTTGAAGGAAAGAGGAGGAGAGGGAAGGAAGGATCCTTCAGGTGGGGGAAATGTGCAGAGCCAAGGAGTTTGGGCTTATGGGGTGAGAAATGGGGAGCCACAGAAGGTGCTTGAGCAGACCACCACCCTGGTGTGCGATGCAGTTTAGGAAGGCCCGTCTGGAAGCAGAGGGAAGGCAGACAGGAGGGAAAGAGACTGGGTCTGGGGTTCCAGTGCCAAGACTAGGTAGGCATCTGGGACAGGATCGAGCCTCTAAACTGCAGGAGGAACCAGGGACCAGACAGCACACGCTGGTCAGCATTTTCTTTCTGTTTTATAAACTTCTCATACGTGCAAAAGAATGTGTGCATATAACCTACATTTAATGATTTAAATGGCAACAGTAATAAAAACAGATCCTTGTGTACCTTCCATCAGTACCTTCGAAGCCCCACGTGGGACCCTTCCTGATCATAGCATCTTTGGTCCCTGACCCTATCCCATCTCCAAGGTAACCACTCTCCTGGGGTTTGTAGTGAGCGTTCCTTTGCTTTTCTTTAGCCTCCGGTGTGCATGAGTCCCTCCGCATTTGTTCAGTTTTGCCTAACATTAAGCTTTACAAAAATAGGATTACGTGGTTTTTATGACTTGCTTTTTTCCCTCCCCGACATTCTGTATGTGAGCTTTTGATGCGTACAGCTTGGTTCGTTTGTCACTGCTGCGTAGTATCCCAGTGTGTGATTCTCTCTCCAGTCCCCTGCGGGTATACATCTGTGCACCTTTGTTTTTGTGCTAACAAACAATGCCGGTGTGAACCTGTAGGTACGTTTCCGCTGTCGTACTTTGGCAGGAGGATGTTTGGGCTACTGACAGTCAAACTCTTGTTTAACCACAGCTCAAAATAAGAAACGGATTTTATATCGTGAATCCGTACCTACCTCCATGCTCACGCACCTAAAGGGAAATAAGTTTCGTGAAGAATTGCTCGCTCCCACTACGCGCGGTGCGTTCTGACTCTTGAACCACTCACCTGCACACGTTCTTTCACTTTGTATGGCTTTATGTTTTATCTTTAGGTTTTCAACAGGACCTTATGTTGAGACTTCACTTCTTATAAATAGGGTGTTGATTTTATTATGTATTTAATATAATGAAAATGAAATACCCATGAAGCCACTTATAGGCACAAGAACCAAACGTCCCTAATAATTTACACATGCCTACACACTGCCTCCCCAGCCTGTTTTTGCTTCTTGATCTGGGGGGGGGGGGGGGGGCCTTCCTTGAATTTCTCATCATTCCCTTGTTTTCTTTTCTTCTAGTTTGATTACATGTATGCACGTACCTGTAAACATTATTATTATTATTATTTAGTTTTTCTTGTTTGGTTGGGTTTGGGGTTTTGGGTTTTTTCAGTATATCACTTACAAAAGGACTTGCTTTTTTTTTTTTTTTTCCTAATATTGTAGAACTAAGGGTCCTTCACTAAGATTCATAGTATTCTATTACGTGAATACACGACACTTTATATAACTCTATTATTGTTTTGTTCTGTTTTCTCTTACAAAGTTGGTGCTACGAACATTTTTCTAAGTGTCCCCGATGGCTGTGTGTGAGGATTTTTCTGTGATACACATCTAGGACTGGTATTTCTGAATCAAATAGTGAATATTACAACACAAAAGTTATTTGCCAAAGTCATATAATAAAGACTTATACTTTGATCAGCAATACATAAAAGATTCGTATCTTCTCTGACGCATCTGATTTTCAATAATGAAACGATATAATCAGTCTTATTTTTGATCTTACTTTGCATTTTCGTGATTCCTATTGAGGCTGAGTATCTCTTTAAGTGTTTATTACCTGTATGGATTTCCTTTTGCCCATTTTTTTGTTGTTGGGTTGTTTGCTTTATTCTTACTAGATGCTAAGTGTTTTTTATATTTCTATATAAATTTATACTTCTAGATATTATACTTTGTCACTTATGTGTATCACAAATATCACCTTCAAATTTATGGCTTGTCTTTTCACTTTGTGAATATTTTGATAAATAAAAGTTCTTAATTTTAGTGTCTAATTTACCCATCTCTTCTTTCAGATTAAGCATTCATCATGCCTTGCGTAAAAATCCTTATTTATACCAACGTCAGAAAGAGAGGGACGCCTGGGTGGCTCAGTCATTTGAGCATCCAACTCTTGATTTCGGCTCAGGTCATGATCCCAGGGTCGTGGGATCAAGCTCTGCATCAGGCCCTACACTCAAGCACGGAGCCTGCTTGGGATTCTCTCTCTTTCTCCCTCCACCCCTCTCCCCTGCTAGAGCTTGCCCACACACACTCTCTGTCTCTCTAAATAAATAAAAAAAAGAAAGACATTCACTAATGTTTTCTTCTAAAGATTTTAAAGTTTTGCATCTGACATTTATAATTATAGTTTGCTTGGAATTGATTTTGTGTATAATAGAAGGCAAGAATCCAGTTTCACTTTTTTTCCACGTGGATAACCAATGCCATAGTCCCTTCTTTACTACTGATCTGCAATATCACTACTGTGGCATATCAAAGATACAGATCTAGCTATATATATAACTTTATATATTACATATAACTTTAGTTATATATTTATATATAGTTACTATATTTGTATAATATTTACATACAAGAATAGACAAACTGATCAATGAAACAAACTAGAGAACCCCTAAATTGACATATATTATGTACATTACACATAACACATATATATGTTGTTAATATATTCATGCTTTATATAAAGTATATTGTATTACATATTATAATAAAAATATTATGCATAAAACACATCTAATGTGTATATAATATATATGTATAATATATATGTCATTATATATATTGTTACTATATATATATATAAAATATACGTCAATTTAGGGGCTCTCTAGTTTGTTTCATTGGTCAATTTGTCTCTTCTTAAGTGGATATTACACTGAATTAATAGCTTTATAACTACCTCTGAAAGGGCAAATACCCATTCAAATGCTCTTTTTTATCCCATGTATTCTTTTTTTTTTTTAATTTTTATTTATTTTTGAGAGAGAGAGAGAGAGACACAGCATGAGTGGAGGAGGGGCAGAGAGAGAGGGGGAGACACAGAATCTGAAGCAGGCTCCAGGCTCCGAGCTGTCAGCATAGAGCCCAATACGGGGCTCAAACCCACAAACAATGAGATCGTGACCTGAGCCAAAGTCCGAGGCTCAACCAACTGAGCCACCTACACTCCCCCCACCCCCCGCCGTGTATTCTTATATAGCGCCTTGACTATTCTTGATTGTTACTCTTCACCATAAATTTTAGAATCAACTTGTTAAGACTTATGTAAACCCTTATTTGGAATTTGATCATAGTTGCATTGACTCTGTATATCAGTTTAAGGAGAATTAATATCGTTATGATAATAAAACTTCCCATCTATGAATCTGACATAGCTCTTCATTTAGTTAGAGCTGCTTTGTTATCTTGCATTTCACATAATGTTTATATTTCTGTAGGTATAGGTTTCTCCCATATGTATTTGACTGGGTTTTTAAGTCATTATTTTATTAATTTTATTAAGATAAAATATACCTACAATAAAATGCACACATATGAAGCATGCAGTTCAACAGGTTTTGGCAGATGCATCAGATGCGTGCCCCACCTAACCACCACTGAATGAAGATACGGAACATTTGCATCATCTCAGAAAGTTCCCTCATGCTCCTCTGCAGTCCAACTCCCAGACCAGCACTGACCTAATTTCTGTAGATTAGTATTGCCACTTTTGGAATTTCATATGAATAGAAGCATTCGGTATGTGCTCTTTTGTGTCTGATTTTTTCACTCAGCATGGTTTTTTAAATCTTTTCAAATGTATTTATTTATTTTGAGCAAGAGAGCAATGTCGGGGGGGGGGGGGTGCAGAGAGAGAGGGGAAAGAGAGAATCCCAAGCAGGCTCTGCACTGTCAGTGCAGTGCAGAGCCTGATGCGGGGCTCGAACGTGCGGGGCAAGATCATGACCTGAGCTGAAATCAAGAGTCAGACGCTTAACCAACTGTGCCCCCCAGGGGCCCCTTCACTCAGCATGTTTTTAAGGCTCATCCATGTCATTTTATGAATCAGCAGTTCATTCCTTTGTGTTGTTAGGTGATATTCGGTTGTACAATTATATCTCAGTTTGTCCATCCACCTGTTGAAAACATTTGGGCTGTTTCCAGTTGGGGGCTTTAATAAATAAAGGTCATATGAAAGTCATGTACCAGTCTCTATTTCAACCTGCTTTTCATTTCTTTTGAAAAAAATATCCAAAAGTGCACTTGCGTTGTCATTTGGTAGCGTATGTTCAGCTTGATAAGAAATTGCCAAACTGTTTTCCAAGGTGACTAGACCATTTTACGCTCCATGAAAGCTCCAGCCGCCCCCCCCCCCACTTGGAATCATCAGTCTCTTGAATGTTAGCCTTCCAGTGGGTGTTGAGTTTTTCCCAGAGTAGGTTTCCCTGATGACTAATAATGATCAGCAAGTTCCCATGTGTTTCTTGGCCCTTAATACATCTTCTTTTGTAAAGGGCCGATTGAAGTCTTTCACCCATTTTAACTGAATTGTTTGTCTTCTTGTTATTGAAGGATTAGTTCTTTCCAGGAACAATTAATGTAATTATATATGATTGGATTTGAGTCAGCCATCTTGTTCTTTGTTTCTCATTTGTCTCACGTGGGGTTTTTGTTGTTGTTGTTCCTCTGTTGTTCCTTTCTGCTTTCTTTGGAGTTCATCAAATAACTTTTAAATATTTGATATCATTTATCCTGTCGAAATCTTTTGGTTTACTTTATCATAATAAATGTTTGTTTTAGTGATTGTTCTAGAGCTAATGCTATACATGCTCCCTTAGTTATCAAAGTCTATTTGGAGTTAATACTGTGTTGCTCCCCACTTGGCAACCGACAAGTGCACACACGACAAACAGTGCAATTCGGTGACCCGCCTCCCCATCGTCTGTGTCACTTGCCAGATCTTTTACTTCTACAGACGTTACAAGCAATATCACTATTTTTGCTTTAAGCAGCCAGTATTCTTGGGCACCACAAGCATTCTTGGCTCTGTAAACTGATGTTTTTCACCAAATATGGGAGGGTACTCCTTCAAACACTTTTCCACATCACTCTCACTCTTCTCCTTCTGGAACCCCAAGCGTACATATGCTAGATGATTCTAGGTCTCTGAGGCGCTGTTACTTTTTCTTCAATATTTTCTCACTGTTGTTTGGATTAGAAAACTTCTTCTCCTGTCTTCAAGACACCAACCCTACCCTCTGACATCGTCAGTCTTTGGCCAAGCCCCTTCGTTGAATTTTTCACGTCCATTCCCACACTTTTAGATCCAAGAATTTCTCGTTTTGTTCTTCTTGACAATTTTCCATACCGTCTTGCTAGCTCAATGATGCATTAAAATGTAGTTTTAAGTATATTTTCCACAATTTTAGGTGACTCATGGCAGAAGGATGTTTCAGAGTTCCTAGTCTGACATTTTGCAAGAAAAGAAGGTCCTGGTCGCATTTTTCAACGGAAAAAAATAGGCAGGATTCTGTGACTCGTTGGGTGGGGAAAATAGGTATGAAAGAGTTTTAAGCTGGAGATATTAGGAGGAGCTGGCAGAAAGAGGGAAAACTGATGGAGGGGCATCAGTTCAGGGGGAACTGACAAACTGATTTTAAGGCATTTTGAATTCCAAATATCAGGGCAATATTCAAGTGAAGATGCCCTGTGGGAAACTGGAAACCTTAGAGATGAATTCATTTATCCTCTTGACATGGCTGAGTGTCTGCTACGCGCCAACACTGGGCCAAAAGCTTCCTGGCACTGAAGCACTCCCTCAGGGAGCCCAGAACCATCAGAACACCCCTCCTCAATGTCCCCAGCCTTGACACTCAATCAAATAAATAGCTGGCCTGGCCTTGGCAGCCCCCACCACATTGAATGCCTTCCCCCCACCCGGAGATCCCACCCACCCTTCCTAGGACTGAAATAATGGACAGAAAGATCGAAAGCATGACAGGAACTATGTGACTTTATCTTAAGCACCAACAGCAAGGAGGGAAGGAAGATTCAGGAAAGGAAGGGAAGAGCAAGAGTTCAGGGAAGGGCAAGGTTAAGGGGTGGGGGCTGAGAGACGGTCCCCTTCATGGGTCAGACAGCCCAGAATCGTCCAACAGAATATATCCCTGTGCCTCTCCTCCCGATACCCTTTCTCAGCCTCAGGGAGGCGGGAGACAAGGAGGGAGAGTCCCACACAACAAGAAATGAGAAGTGGACAGCAGGGAAGATGGGCCAGGGTGAGATCAAGGGTTTACACCCCACCACCAGGGCCAGGCTGGAGAGAGAGCCAGCTGGGAACCTCGGGAGGACGAGAGCGCCAGAGGCTCGGTGTTTCATCAAACCCTGCCAGCTTCACACTTCTTAACCTGCTGCCACAAACTTCCATCCTACAGGATCTGATGCCACAGAAATGGGTGACTGAGACATTCCCCCAGCTACAACTCCGCCTGAGAGCGGCTGACACCTGCACAGGGACGATAACAAGTCAGAACCTTCGGCAGCGTGGGGACCAGAACTCCCGCCCTACCAGCCAAGAGCACCCAGATGGCTGAGATGGTTCTTGCTTATTCACATCTCCAAGGATAAAGCCTACCTGAGCCTCCCTGTGGCCTGTCCCAGCCTTTACTGGAAGGGAGTCCATCTGGTGGTTTAATCTCAATCCCTTCTTAATCTAGTCTTCCGTCACTGACTTCAGGAAGACCTCCCTGGGGACAACCAAGCTGATGAAACACCTGTTTTGGTCCAGAAAAGTATTTGACATCTTGAACGTGGACACATGCGCTTGGACAAGGAGAAAATGCGAGCCTCCCAACAATGGGAAAGTAAGACTTCCACTCCGATGGGTATGGCATGAGGAGTTATCCCCCTCGTGACCCAAGGTCAGTGTTAGGACTGGGCACTAGCTCCCGACAGTGGTCCCAGAAGTAACGTGGTCACCAGCTCTGAACCCAGTCACCAAAGGAATCATTCAAGTTTTCCCAGGTCAGAAAAGAAGATCTGGGGTGCAGACCCCCCCAAAGGCTCAGCGTCTCCCCAACCCGGTTCCAAAAGAACATAAGGGTCAGGCTCTCCCAGACTCCTCTGGGAAGTGGGACCCGCCAAATGCAGCAGGACACAGAGATCCCTCCACCTGCCCAGGAGTCCAGCTCCAGGCTGCCTCCCCACCCACACTGACGGGCTACACGATCACGAACAATCCAGTCTCCCCGAATCTTTCTATTTGCCCTTTCAGTGTGAGGCCTCCTTTTACCCTGCCTTCTAACCAACAGTGTTCTGGAACCAGTTCACAGAGCCTGTTTGACACATTTCTAGCCGACCCTAAATGCAGTCACAGCCAGCCATGCCGGAAGATTTTACACCACCGAAACTGGCAAACCCTGTAAATGGGACTTTTGTTTCCTTCCGAGAGCTGGTTGTTAAACATTTACCCGCAAGCAATTGCCCCTAACTAAATTATACAAGAGGCGTATTGGAAATGAGGCAGTAGACCTCAGCTAAAAGTATTCTCCTTGGCCTCCCCTCAGGGCAGGGAGGGTCCCTCCAGCTTGGTGTTCTGGGGGCCAGGAGAGAACAAAGTGGGTTATGGTCCTGGGTGTCTCGGTCTATTTCCTGCATGTACCAGTCTCTCCCCTCCCCCAGCTGGGAACACCCCAAGAACAGGCCTCTCCCTTTCATTAACAGAGTCCCCCTGAGGGACCACAACCAGGGACATCTGTCATGCAAACGAGCTGGATCCTGAATGGTGAGATCCATTTGGGGCACTCACTGCCCCAAATGTGGTGGGGGGCGGGAAGTGGGGGGCAGATGACCCACACCTGAAACTTGGCATTTCAACCTCATTAGTCCGCCTCTGGATCACGCGGTCTGCGCAGTAATCTCCTCCATGGCAGGGTCTCCCCACGCCACATCACCATGACTTTCATCTCCCCATATTAAAGAGAAGCAGAGATTCTCCCGAGGCTCAGGACGGGGTGTCCCAGCAATTCAGACACCACAAATGGTTGGAGGTTGTACAGGGCTCAGCCTGCGCAACCATACATGTTAGTCCTGCCCAGCCACTAAAACCTCAGAGCTGTGTGCCCTTCTGTTACCATCTCTAGGGATCAGAATCCCCAGACAAAAGAGGCTTTGTTAATATATGCCTGGCATCCTTCCCACTGCCATGTCTAGGAGGCAGGTGTCCTATGCCCCTCACCTTGCTGCAGCACCAGGACTCAGCCCCAGCCCGGCTGTGTCTAGCAATGTCATCAGAGTTAGCCTAGATCTCAGTCACAGTGCAGCCCATGTTCAGGTCCCGGCTGTTATCCAGTTTGGTGATGACTGAGGTGTCTGAGACGCGGGCTTCGGTGACTCTCACTTCCTGTGGGGCCGACAGCCATTCATATCACCTGTACCATCGAGAGCCAGGTAGAACAGAGCTCACATTCCCCCTTCACACACACACACACACACACACACACACACACACAGAGCCACCATTTCAAAGACTTCATGCCTGCAGACCCCTCTGTCCGCTTCCTCTGTTCAAAGTCTGGCCTGGGACAGAGTGAAGATGGATGACTAATGTCCTCCCTGCCAGTGCTCACCTCCCCCCCCCCCTACGGTGTTCTGGAAGCTGATCTCCTCCACCAGGCCATCAGCATCGGCCTCCTGGTCTCCCTTGCGCACGTAGGCACAATTAAGCTCCTGGAAACAACGCACAGGCAGTGGCTAGTTGTTGCAGAGCTTTTCCAGGGGACTCTACCTCCCCCAGGCCAACCCTGGGAAATTTCCAATCCCATTTTCAACCCTACAGAGCCAGTCATGGGCATAGATCCAGAAGTCAAGGGTTGGGGAACTAAGCTCTCCCTCTCACTCTAGCAAAACGTAGTATGTGACTTTGGGGAATTCTTTTATCTCGCTGGGCCTCTCTGTAAAGGAAGATCCAGAGAATCTCTGCCCTGTGGGTCTCCCAGGGTATAAGGAAGAAAATGCCTTTCCATGGGGAGAAATAAAATATGAGCTTATTAACTGACAGATGGAGTACTGGATGCCCCTGAGGGCTGCTGCACGCAAACCCACTCACCGGCTTGATTCTGACAAGCTCATTCTCCGCAGTGGTCCCCAAAATGACCTCCTCTTCCTACCTCCACAGGGAAAGGGGTTTGGATCAAGAGAAATTATCAGAGATTTGGCTAGTAGTGGAAGGAAGCAGAGAGGACCCCAACATGACCTATCACCTCCCTGCCCCCAGGATGTCTGAAATGTCCCTTTGACCCACATCTCTGATAGTACTTAACTTAAATGAGCATTACTCATTCTAAAGAGCTTGGTTTTGTTATTACTCGAATAGAATAAACTGACTGCCCAAGCTTCGATCCAGGACGGTGGGTGGAATTAGCGACACGCACCAATGCGTGTGAACGGTGGAGAAGAGGTGACGTCATTTCTTTGCACCCCTAGTAGCTAGCATAGTTTTGGAATAGAGTTAAGCGCTCAGAACAGGTCCACAGGGTGGATGGACGAGTAGGGATAGGGCCCCTATCTTATGTTCATAAGGCAATGGGGAGAGGCTCTTAGCTGATATTTCAGCTTCTCTCCCCTCCCTGTGTCTGCCTGTCACTGCCTCTAATGCTGATAAAAGCACAAAGTGGGTTCACGAAGGAAGAAGTTTCCAAGGCCAGACCTTCCCCCCCCACCGACTCGATTCTTGGAGCCCCAGCACCTCCTGCACGTGGTTAGGGCAGGGGACAGCTGTGATGCAGCAGGGTCACAGGCCAAGGTGCAGGTGAAGGTGTAGCCAGAACTGTCTCTTCAAGTGATCAGGCGGGAGCTGGATTTGAGGACCTCATTAGGGGAGCTAAAGCAAGATGATCCACAGGTTATGGTGAGCTAGGCTAGAAGAGTTAAGGCCAGAGGGAGAGGAGAAGGATTCTGACCCCTCCTTCACTGCCCCTCCCTTTTATAAACGCGGCCCGGCCACGTGGAGTGGCTATTTTGTCACCTGATCAGGCTTGGGAGACTTTGCAGCCATTTCTCCTCTTTCCCGGGGTCATGATATCAAGCTCCACACTGGGCTCCGCGCTGAGCATGGAAGCGGCTAAAAATTCTATCACCCCCTCTGCCCCTCCACTTTCTCCCCCCTCCCCCGCCGTCTCCCTCCCTCTCTCAAAATAAATAAGGGGCACCTGGGGGGCTCAGTCAGTCAAGGTCCAACTTCAGCTCAGGTCCCGATCTCCTGGTTCGTGGGTTCGAGCCCCTCATCGGGCTCTGTGCTGACAGCTCAGAGCCTGGAGCCCGCTTCCGATTCTGTGGTCTCCCTCTGTCTCTCTGCCCCTCCCCCGCTCTCACTCTGTCTCTCTCTTTCTCTCTCTCTAAAATAAATAAGCATTGAAAAAAAACTTTTTTAATAAATAAATTAAATAAATCCTCCATGCTTCAGGGTAACTCCGTTTCTTCTTGTGAGGGAGACACCAAGGGAAGATGTGTCCAATACTACCATTCCCTGGAGAAAATTGGAGTAGAACTACCTGTACCGAAGCCGTCAGTAACACTACTGGCAACCCTAGCTAAAGCTGGGAGTGGAAGCATAAGACACTGGAGTGGGACCCCCACCCCCACCCCACCCCACCCCCCACCCGGAGGACAGCTCTAAGGTTAGGCAGAAGCCCTGCAAAGTCAAGGCTAGACCAAAGGGATTCAGACCCACAAGAGTGTTGGGAAAGACAGCAGAGGGGGCAGAGGGGCACTCTCTAAAAATGGGTTGCCAGACAGCCCAACACCAGTCAGAGCTGGCCAGGAACACCTCTTGGGTGCCGGGATTTAATTACCCTTTGCATAATAACAACTTATATTTAAAAGCAAAGGAAGCTAAGGATGATTTGCATGCTTTTCTTTAATGCTGCCTGCTGAGTTCACATTCTAGTTTCCCCTGCCCATAATTGGACGTATAATTAACTTCCATTATAATGGGCTATGGCTCTCTAGAATTGGTGGCCATGACCAAGCCCCAGTTGAGGGGAAGGCTTTGGATTGGGCCCATTTTTCTAAGAGCCCAAAGCCTAGAAGCCTGGGCTCCCTCCTAGGAGAAGAACTCAACCCTCACTGAGCCCCCAAAGACTCAGACCTCCGAGGGGCTGGCATGGAGGAGGGCTGGAAGCCTCCTTTCAGATTCTGAATCCCCTCCTCCATAGAGCTTTCGGCGCTTGACCTTAAGCCACTGGACCACTCTGAGCTCACCTTCCCAATCAGGTAAATGGGCACAATAATACTGACCTTGGAAGGATGCCCGAGGGTAAAGATAAGAAAATGCATCATAAAGCCCTCACACACTGGAGGCACTCCTTTAATGCAATTGCCTGAACCGACCCCCAGGAGAGTGGAGAGGGGTACAGGAAGCAATGTGGGGGACTAGGGAGTGGGGGCCCCACACTTACTAGGAAAGGAGCCAGGAGCTGAGTTCTGAGCAACAGAGAAGGGAAAGTTTTTGCCCAAAGGGACATAGGATGAATGGCAAAATAACAATGGTAGAATAAACAGAACAAGCAAATAAACAAACGTTTATGGAGCTCTTATTAAGTGCTAGGTAGGGCCCTAAACGCTTTCCCGTCCATTACCTCCTTAGGTCCTCCCAAGAGCTTGCAGATGGGTACTATTTATTACTCCTAACTCGCACAAGAGGAAACTGAGGCTCCGAAAGGTTATTCACTTGTCCAAAGTCATGACAAGAATCTGTAAGACCGGCTTCAGAGACCCCTCCTCTTGGACGCACACACTCGCTCCCCCACTCCGTGGTGCACACGAGACCAAGGCTAAGCCGGCCCCCGCAGGGCGGTGGCGCCCGGCTGGGACCCCAGCCGCGCGGGGTGTGCCCAGCTGACCAGCCCCGGAATGGAGCCGGTGACGATCCAGCGCCTCCGGGGCCCAGTCCCGGCCGAGGGGCGCAGAGGGGGGCGCCCCGAGGCCGCGGCGCACGGCCCGCAAAGGTGACCAGGCGTTTCCCGGCCCCATAAAGCTCGGGCGGGAGGTGAAGCCGTTTTATGGAGGCGGCCGGCGGCCCGGCCCGCTTTGATTCCCGCCTGGACGAGGCGCGCGGGCCAACCTCCAAGCTCGTAAACGCGTTGGCCGCGCGCTCCCGCCGGCCCGGTGGGCCGCGATATAAGGCGCAGCGCGGGCCCCGGGCTCCAGCCACCCGCCGCCACCGCCGCACCATGTCCTGCCTCTCCAACGGCCTCGCCGCCCCCTGCGGGGTCCGCGCCTTCAGCTGCGCCTCGGCCTGCGGGCCCCGGCCCGGCCGCTGCTGCATCACCGCCGCCCCCTACCGCGGCGTCTCCTGCTACCGCGGCCTCACCGGCGGCTTCGGAAGCCACAGCGTCTGCGGCGGCTTCCGCGCGGGCTCCTGCGGCCGCACCTTCGGCTACCGCTCCGGCGGCGTGTGCGGCCCCAGCCCGCCCTGCATCACCAGCGTGTCGGTCAACGAGAGCCTCCTCACGCCCCTCAACCTAGAGATCGACCCCAATGCGCAGTGCGTGAAGCACGAGGAGAAGGAGCAGATCAAGTGTCTCAACAGCAGGTTCGCAGCCTTCATCGACAAGGTGAGTGTCCTTGATCACACCGTTCCTGAACCCCATCCATGCTCAAACTCAGGCCGGGCGCGGAGGGTGGAGTCAGAAGCAGGAGGGATGTGACCCAGGTGAGTTCCCAATCTGATAGAGGAGATGAACAAACGTCCCGGGCACAGGCAGACACAGAGAAATGAGTATAGAGCAGCAGCCCTTCATCTGATAACACCATTATTATATACAATCCCTATCCAGACAGGCAGAGTCTCCACAGACAAGGGGGGATGTCCTTGATCACACTCTTCCTGAGCTTGGAAGTCCTGGGAGAACCTTGGAATTCCCAGGCCAGTCTCTGGAAATGGGGAATGGGGGGGGGGGGGGCTGGTGATATTTTATGTGATCATATTAGGTGGTGCATTAAAGCACTAAATAACATCGAAACATCTGATGGGAAAATTCATCTTTTCTCATGTGTGTTTCAGTCCTTAAGATTAAATCTCATTAGGCGCTAACATGTCTTCAGTATCCCTCGAATACTTACTGTTCCCTTACCCTTTTTCTTTAATTTTTAATGTTTATTTATTTTTGAGAGAGAGAGAGACAGAGTATGAGTGGGGGAGAGGCAGAGAGAGAGGGAGACACAGCATCCGAAGCAGCTCCAGGCTCTGAGCCGTCAGCACACAGCCCGACGCGGGGCTCGAACTCACAGACTGTGAGATCATGACCTGAGCTGAAGTCGGACGCCCAACCGACCGAGCCACCCAGGCGCCCCTCTCTTACGTGTAATAAAGAGAGCAAGCCTCAGGTTCAGGGTTGTCTGGGACCACGGTTTCAGCTAGAATTTAATGTTTTATGATGTGCTTTTATGTATGCCTACTGATTTTGGATTTACGATACGGTGGTAATATCCAGTTACCCCTGAAGCCCCACTGGAGTGTAAATGCTAAGCAAATCCACTTAGAGATAAATCATGAGTCACACGGTACGAGGGGATGGCAAATCCCGAAGTCGGCCTGTGAAGGCTTCACATTTGAGAAATCACTGCCACCAGCCCAGCCCTTTGAACGTACACAGAAGACAAGAGACACAGGGACATAAGGCAGGGGGGCCTGCCCAAGGCCCACGGGGAGTGGGTGGCAGCCCAGGACTCCAAACCTAGGCTCTCTCCGGCTCTCCAGGCGCCTGGGGCCTAGAGGATCCAACCCATGGAGGCCGCTACCGCACTCCCCTTCCAGTGGGAGCCGGCCCACCACAGCAAGCACTGCCAACATCCACACCCGGGAAAGGCAGCAGGGGAGTGGAACACGGAAAATGCCCTGGCCCGCCAACAGGCAGCCTGGGCTCCACCTCCAGTTTCTCCCCCACCCCCCCCACCCCGATCTGCCGGGCGACACTGGGCAGCGGCTCCCCGTCTTGGCCCCAGAGCTGTCCACACCAGAGCTATGTGTGGTGCAGGGTGTGACCTTGAAAGGAAAGACGGGGGCCAAGGCAGCCATCAGCCTCCCTACCGCAGCTGGTGCCCTGTCAGCTAAGACCCCCTGAAGTGAGCCCATATAACATCAGCAGTTTCCACTCCCCTTTTCTGGAAGTTCCAAGTAGGGAAATTCCCAGCTGCCCTGGTTAAGTTGGGTGGGAGGACACCAGGGCTAAAAAGCGAGGTAATGTCTCAACTGCAGCTCAAATGTACGAGCTATGGAACCCTGGAGGCCGGGGGGCCTCGCCTTGTTTGCTGACCGCCTCTCCTGCACAGTGTGTCGCCGCCATCACAGGTCTTCAGTGCGAATGACCTCCAGGAAAGGCTTGCGTGCTTCCCTTCCCCGCAAGTCTTCACCCTCCCCATTTGCCGGAATCTCCCCCCATTCACACCATCTGCCTGGCCTCCAGGGACCCAAAAGCGTCCAACACAGGAATTCAGGCCGCCTAAGACCACACACATCCCCCTTCCTCCAGCCGCAACCATCCTGCTGGCCGTCCGAGAGCCAGCCCTCTCTAACCTCCCCAGTCGGGTAGCCCTTCCCACCTTGACCATCCTTTCAGACACATGCTGAGCATTGAGGACACAGACGGATGAACCCTGGTCCCTGCCCCGCGTGGAGCTCCTCATGAAAGGCTTTCATCTTGCGCTGCATTCCTTTCCTCCAGGAAGCCTTCCTTGATTATCAGTACCCGCCCCCTCCCCCGCCTCGCCGTAACCCCAGCGCAACCCCAGTGCCCCTCAGTTTCTCACTCACCCCATCCAAGCCCACCCTAACAGACCCTCGCTCAAGCCTGAACAAGCAATCGTGAAACAAGAATGCTCCCGGTGCCTCCTCGGGCCAGGAGGGCCCAGAGAGGCCATGCTGTCCGTCCCTTACCGCCGCACACTTCCCGTTAGTTCTGTGTTGACTCTACCTGCTCTCCGAGGAGGGCTGGGGAGACTGGCTTCCCCCACTGACTTTTCCCCCCACTTGCTCACCAGGTGCGCTTCCTGGAGCAGCAGAACAAGCTTCTGGAGACCAAGTGGCAGTTCTACCAGAACCGCAAGTGCTGCGAGAGCAACCTGGAGCCCCTGTTCGAGGGCTACCTCGAGACGCTGAGGCGGGAGGCCGAGTGCGTGGAGGCCGACAGCGGGAGGCTGGCCTCGGAGCTCAACCACGTGCAGGAGGTGCTGGAGGGCTACAAGAAGAAGTGAGTGCGGCCCGAGGATAGTCTCAAGAAACGAAAAGGGCTGAAGTCAGAGCAGGATAGATTTGGGCTACAGCACCAGAGGAACTTTCCAGGAGGAAGAAGACAGTGACCGGGAGCCTGATGAGGGAGACTTTTCTTTTCTGGGTTGGGAGTTTAAACCCCGGAGAGACTGGGAGGGGCTCCAGCTGCCTCATCAGCGTGGGTTTATTTCCTTAATTCAGCAAACGTTTATTGACATCTACTCGATGCTGCAGGTGCTGTGTTAGGCCCTGAGCGGGGAGGCAAGGGGGGGGGGGACCAGAACTAGTGTGGGGTTCCTGCCCCCACCCCCGCCGGGAGTTACAGCCCAGAAACAGAGAGAAAGCCTACAAAACTGCGCGCGCGCGCCCACTTCAGGAATGAGAGTCCCTAAAACAGGAAGAGCATTGGGTGACCGAGTGGATTGAGAGCCCCAAAGAATGGGATGGACAGATCCCTTCTAGTCCAACACTCTGTGATTCTGTGACTACCTCCAAAAGATCCAGATCCTGGAATATGTTTGCCTGGGCCTCATTCTCTCTTTTTTTTTCCCCCCTCTTCAAAGCCCAGACTATTAAAGTTCTGGCCACTGAAACTTGTGCCCTTTGTCTCCAGGTATGAAGAGGAGGTGGCACTAAGGGCCACCGCCGAGAATGAATTTGTGGCCCTGAAGAAGGCGAGTGACCCCAGAATACTTGTCCCACAACTCAGAAAGCAGGGCAGAGGCAGGAGGGAGCACTCAGGAATTCAGAGAGGCTGAGCGACTCCCCCAGAATCGCCTAGCGCTACCCCTCCCCTATTTCCTTCCCCCGCCCCAGCACCCCAGCACTCCCCGGGTGGCCCCGGGCATTGGAGTACATACACTGCCTGCTTCAAGCAGGGCACCCTATTCCTCCATCGGAGGTAACCCCCATCTGGCCGATGGCTTCCCGCGTCTTTCTGCCCTGTGCCTGCCAGACAGCAGGCATTCCTAAATACTGTGGATGAAAGAGCACACCAATGCTAGGGGATGGCCACATCCTGAGGCCGCCAACAGCTGTGAAGTGCTGGCGTGAACGCTGTATCGTCCCTCACCTCTTAGGCTTGATTCGCCACAAATGCCATCATGTGGACTCCCACCAGGTCCTTGCAACCACCTCCACAGGAGGAAGGCGAGGGTTGCTGTGAGGAAAGTGAGGCACAGAGGTCAAGGGTCTTACCCTGAGTTGCCCTGGCTTGGAAGAGGCAGAATTGATCCCTAAGACCTCTTCTTCTGACCACAGATCTAGATTTCTTTCCATGAGGTGTCAGGGCAGAAAGGGCTGGGGCATCATTAGAGCCGACCCATTTTGCTGCAGAGCCTAAGTTTCAGTGATAATGCAAGGTGTGGATTCTGGAGTTTTCTTTCGGGTAGGTAGTGGAGAAAGTGCCTGGAAACCTCATAATCCCACTCCCTTCCCCAAACCTGCTTCTGAGCCCTCTGACGGTAGAAAGGACTTCACCAAGGCCATGATACGAGGCACTAGGATGAGCAGCTAAGGAAGGTCTCCGGGGAGTTTGTCCAGCCTGATGGGGTGCCCTCCTGGGAGTGGGGGGCAGCGGGGGGGAAGCCCTGTGTTGCCTTTCCAGTAAGACTCCTTTGACACCCTCTCCCCTTTAGGACGTGGACTGTGCCTACCTCCGCAAGTCAGACCTAGAGGCCAACGCGGAGGCCCTGACTGAGGAGATCAACTTCCTGCGGCGCCTGTATGAGGAGGTGAGGGGCCGTGGTCCAGATGGAAAAGAAGCAGCCAGCCTAGAAGAGGGGGCTGGGGCCTGGGACTGGCCAGGGATCCCTGGGCAGTTGGGGGAGGGGGGTGGGCCAGGGATTTGGGCTGGGGCAAGGGGGCTGCAGTCCATGAGCCTGTAGTGGGAGCTGGGGTAGAGACCAGGTAAGGGCTGAGATGGCTGGGTCCACACTGTGGTGGGTGAGGCTGGGGTGTAAACACGTTCCCCACCATCTGCAGGAGATCCGTGTTCTCCACGCCCACATCTCAGACACCTCGGTCATCGTCAAGATGGACAACAGCCGGGACCTGAACATGGACTGCATTGTGGCCGAGATCAAGGCTCAGTACGACGACATCGCCAGCCGCAGCCGGGCGGAGGCCGAGTCCTGGTACCGCAGCAAGGTGAGGGGCACAGGACACCTGTCTCTTAGACATGACAGCACGGGGGAAGCCCGGTATACACTGAACAAGGCCTCTTCTGTATGGGGTTTCTGATCCCTAAGGATGGTGACAGAAGGGCAGAGAGCTCTTAGGTTATAGTTGTTGGGCAGGGCTGCCATGTATAGTCGCACAGGCTGAGCACTGTACAACCTCCCAACCATCTGTGGTGTCTGAATGGGTGCGAACCTCCATCCTGAGCCTCAGGAGCACCTCTGCTTCCCCCCAGTGCGAGGAGATGAAGGCCACGGTGATCCGGCACGGGGAGACCCTGCGCCGCACCAAGGAGGAGATCAACGAGTTGAACCGCATGATCCAGAGGCTGACCGCCGAGGTCGAGAATGCCAAGTGTCAGGTACGGGTCGCCTGGGGCCTCCCCAGGGCCACACAGGCAGCGTGTGCCCCGACTGGCTCTCACCATTCATGATCCAGCCCAGTTGCAGGACTCATGTCCCTGATTGTGGTCCCTCAGGGGGACTCCGTTAATGAAGGGGAGAGGCCTGTTCTTGGGGTGTCCCCAGCTGCGGGAGGGGAGAGACTGGACACATGAGGGAAATGGACCGAGACACCCAGGACCATAACCCACTTTGTTCTCTCCTGGGCCCCAGAACACCAAGCTGGAGACCGCGGTGACCCAGGCTGAGCAGCAGGGCGAGGCGGCCCTGAGCGACGCCCGCTGCAAGCTGGCCGAGCTGGAGGCCGCCCTGCAGAAGGCCAAGCAGGACATGGCCTGCCTGGTCAAGGAGTACCAGGAGGTGATGAACTCCAAGCTGGGCCTGGACATCGAGATCGCCACCTACAGGCGGCTGCTGGAGGGCGAGGAGCAGAGGTGAGAGCCACACCCGTGGGGAGAATATGTCTTCAGTCTCCCCCACACTATGCTTTGAGCCAGGAACATGTTTGCATATCATTTGCATCTGATTTGCATCCAGATTATGTGGGGGTCAGAACTAATTTTTGTCTCTGCTCTCCCCACAAGGTTGTGTGAAGGCGTTGGTGCTATAAATGTCTGTAAGTAACCTATGCTGTGGGTTCTGAACTGAGGGCTTGGGGTTCCTCTGGGCAAACTTTTTCTTCAAGGGCCAGATATTAAGGCTTGTGAGCCATCCAGACTCTGTCTCAACTCCTGGACTCTGTCACTGCAATGTGAAAGCGGCTACAGCCATAAGCAATACCTAAGGAGTACATATGGCTTGCTTCCGATAAAACTTTATTTACAAATATAGGAGGCCAACACAGGCCATAGTTTGAAACCCTGAAAGGAAGGAGGGAGTGTGGCAGTGAATGATTATGAGTTAAAAAGCTATTTCTGCCCACAGGGAGGGCCTGGGAGCACGGTTTATCAAGGACACTTGCGGCCTGAGTGCAGGAAAGAGTGCCCAGGAGTGAAGGTGTTGGGGGGAAGGGGGGAAGAGAGGAATAGAAATGAAGGGGGAGGCGCTCTGAGCAAGAGCCAGTAGGCAGGGACCGCCAGCCACGACCTCGCACGGGGACTAAGCCTTGCTCTCCTCCCGCAGGCGTCAGCAGCTCCCGGGGCGGGGTCGTCTGCGGGGACCTCTGCGTGTCCGGCTCGCGGCCAGTGACCGGCAGCGCGTGCAGCGCCCCCTGCAGCGGGAACCTGGCGGTGAGCACCGGAATGTGCGCGCCCTGCGGCCAGAAGTGCAGCGGCAGCTCCTTGGTGCGGTTCGCGTAGCGCCTCCCGCCCTGTAAATACTCGGCTCGGCTCTCGGAGTCCGCAACCCCTGCCTCCAGCGGCGGGTCCGGGAGCAGCCGTAGCCCTGGGGCTTGAAGCAGAAGGGCTTGGAGAACCTGCGGGCCTGACCCGTCCACACTGCAGCCTTATCTTCGTGCAACTTCTCCGCCTTCTCCCCCTCCTTCGCTCTTGCTCTTGGGAAGGGGGGCGGATTCCTTCCGGAGAGGGCCGGCCTCCCTGCCCAGCTGGCCCCCAGGAGTTTAAATGCCTGCCTTCCAAGCAGCCTTGGGCAGGGAGCCAATCCTGACCTGCTCGGGCTGCTCTGGGAGCTGGCCTGGCCCAAAAACCTGTGGCTTCTAAGGCACAGATTGGCCCCAGGTCCCCTGGGCTGTGGACGTGCCTCTATTCCACTGGGCCTCCCCTGCCTTCCAAACCCTGGCGGTGACTGAGGCCTCGGCTTCACGAGGACATCTCTTGGCGGCCGCCTGGGCTCCCTCCCCCTCGTGCTTAGTGTCCACGTTGCCAATAAAGCTCATGGATCATACATAATGCGCTCAGAAAAGCTCCCGTCTGTGCCGGCACATGGGGACGTCCAGCCCAGTTTGGGCCCCTCAGAGGCTGACAGAGAAGCTGTTCACAGCCAAAGGGGAAAGAGGGCTATCTCGGAGGCACCCTGCCCGAGTGCCACATTCACACTTCCTGAAGGCTGCAGGGGGCTGGCTGGCAGTCCCAAATACCCAGACAGCGTGAGAAAGAGCTGGAAGCAGAGGGAGAGAAAGGCAACCAGGAGGAGACTTAGCCAGGAGGGGCAGGGCCTGGCTCTCCTGACACCTGTAGGGGGGCACCTTATCACTCACAGCTGGCGGGACACTGACGGCTCACTTCCCCCACTCCCCATTCCACCCCCACCTCAATATATGAAAATTCCTGACCGTAGGATCGAATATAGACTCCTCCTCCCCCAGAAACCAACACCCTCTTGATAGCCCCCCCTATATACACCGCCATCACCCCCCCCCAAGGTGTCCTAGACACAAGAGACCTTCCCACTACCCCCTCCCCACCATCCATCATATGTGCTGTTGCAGGAACAGATATCCCCATAGACCCTAAAAACACCCCCACACGCGTACAGACACACAGACCCCCCGACCCCAGACACAGAGATGCTCTTATCGAGCAGCCGACACACAAATGCCCCTCCCCCCACCAGGGAGCCGGATACACACACAAGCCACCGCCCAGGCACAGAGCCTCCTGCCAGGGGGTCCAGATTCTGGGACTCCTCACCCCTCCCCCTCCCAAACACACACAGGCCTCCTCCCACTGCCATCATCACCCGCACAGAATCCCAGACCCAGAGAGCCCCGTCCAGGACCTGAGGGCCGGGCAGACCCAGCACCAGCAAGGGCCAAGGGCGCGAGCTGGCTGGTGCATCTGAAACCCAGGCCTGCGGCAGCTGAGTGTCTGGGCCTTCTCACAGCAAGGAATGAACTCTGGCAGCACAGGGCATGGGGGTGGGGGTGTGCAAACAGCCCTCCACTCCCTCAGCAGGAGAAGGCTTCAACGCCCACTTCCTGGCAGAGCCAGACTTCCTGGGATGTTTCTGGGCTTCAGGAGAGGAGCTGGACTCAGTCCCAGCCCTGGGAGGAGGCCAAGACCTCACACCGGCTAAGAGCCACGCCCCTCAGAGCACCACCACCAGGTCACCAGTGTGCTTTCCCAGTCACCTGCACAAGTGGCTTCTCCGTGTTCACAGCAGACGCCATCCTCTCTGGGGCCCCTTCCTCCCCATGGCTCCCCAACCAGCTGATGAAGCCAGGATCCCAGGGGCCAGGATGGGCTTCAGAAAGGCTGCTTTATTGGAAGCTATTCTGACATCACTTTTCAGACTGCCTGGCCCTCTTGGGACCCGTGATGGGAGTCCTCCTGTGACGGGGGGGGGGGGGGGGGAAGGGGGGGGCAGGGCTGTGGGTCTCCACACAGCAGAGCTCATTTTCGGACGCTCCTGTGGGTGGTGGCTGAGGTCCTGGTGGAATAGGACTTGATGGCCCCGGGCCCTCCGCCGCTCGAAAAGCTCAGGGCATTGCTGCCCATGGTTCCCCTGAAGGCCAGCCCGGCCAGCCCGCTGCCACCACCACCGGTGGAGTTCACCACGGCTGCGAGAAACGGGAGGAGGGCTCATCAGCGCGGGCCCACGACCTGAGGCCCCACCCCTCACTCCACCCTCCCCTCCTGCAGTACCTGCCCCTCCCCCTCCCCACTGCCTGACCCCACCCCCCACCACCCTCTTCGAGCAGGCCCAGAAGGAGCCTGGGACAATGCAAGGGATAATGCACCACAGGTTTCCCCCGCCCCACTCTGCCCTCTAGCATGGCTTCCCTGGGCCATTGAGCCCGACTGGCTGGGAGCCTCAGGGCACCTGCTAAAAGCTGGTGAGGGAAAGAAGCTCCTGTCCCAGACAAGGGCAGGTCCTCAAGCCGATGTGCCATCCTGTAAGACCCAGTCTAGCCCGGACAGCGCAGGAAATGGCCACAGCCAAGGACTTACAGATGTTCACAGCTCCTACTCCATCTCCGGCCAACCTGGGGGCAGAGGAGAGAGACCTGTGAGAGCGACTGTTTCCTCAGAGCTGGAGGAAGCAGTCCCAGGCCCCTCCATCCAGGCACCAGGCAAGACCAGTATTCCTTCCTCTGTCCCCACTAAGGGAAGGCTACGTGACCTTGGGCAATGTCTCAGAGCCTCCATTTTCTCACTTCTCAACTGGGGCCAACTTAGTCCCAACCTCAGACTTGTTTGTGAGGGCTGAATAATATCATTTACCTAGAGCCCTGGGCACACAGGACTCGGTGGATGGGAACTGTTATTATTTATGAAGACAGCTGCCTCCCCTAACCAAATCATAAAATCCTCAAAGCAGGTTGTGGCTTATTGATTCTTGGATCTCTGGCCCCTTGCGTGAAGTCTGGCATGTAGTAATTGCTGTATTGTCTGTATTGAAATAATTAGTGCATTGGAGATTTCACGAGGGTCGCTGAGGCAGGGACAGAGGACGGAGCAGAAGGTGGTCGGGATGGCTTTAAGCAGACTATACTGGAAATAGAAAAGCCAAGGGAGACAGCTGGACGTGTTTGTTTTGTGACTCACTCCATTGTCACCAAGCCCTTGGCCTTAGGGTTGAGTTTACTCTGCAGTGGGGAGGGGAGACCTCACTTTGGTAGAAGGAGTGAGGAGAGCCCAGCTGGCCTCATCACCCCCAAGTCCAGGAAGGGGGAGGAGCAAAGGCCAAGTTCAAGAAAAGGATATGCCAGGAAGCTTCCAGGCCCCTTGCTCAACTGGGCCCTTCAAGCGCTGGGAGTTGCTAACAGTTGTGGGTGGGGAGGGAAGCCAGGTTGCAATTAGGCAGTGATTTCATGAAACAGTTTCTGGTGCCATGCTTGAAGAACTCTAAAGGAAGAGATCTGAATGTCTAAGACTCTAGTGATTCGTGTGATTTTTCTTTTCTCATCCTAACTAAATATTTGTTTTTGTGCAATTGTGTATTTGTAACTCTGTATTCCTTTTTTTTTTTTTTTAATTTTTTTTCCCAACGTTTATTTATTTTTGGGGGGACAGAGAGAGACAGAGCATGAACGGGGGAGGGGCAGAGAGAGAGGGAGACACAGAATCAGAAACAGGCTCCGGGCTCCGAGCCATCAGCCCGGAGCCCGACGCGGGGCTCGAACTCCCAGACCGCGAGATCGTGACCTGGCTGAAGTCAGACGCTCAACCGACTGCGCCACCCAGGCGCCCCTGTAACTCTGTATTCTTAAAAGAAGGCACCCCAAAGTGCATGAGTTCCTAAGACCACAAATCCTAGACCTGCCCCTGGGAAGAGTCGAGGGGTTAAGGGATAAACGAAAACAAAAAAAACACAAGGAGTCCCTCTCCATGTCTCCTAAGAGTGGAGAGAGGACCGTTTCCTCTCAGACAACCAGGATCTAAGCCCCGATGGTAGCAACCAACGCGGAGATTAGGTTTTCAAGGGGGAATGTTTCCACTCTCCATGTAACCTTGGCCATGCCACTCACCATCCCCGACCTTCAGCCTGCTTGTCTGCCCACGAGAGGAAAAGGATCAGGCCCCATTCTAAGGGTCCCCACCTCTGGCTCTATGAGGAAAAGAGACCCACGGTATGTGTTCCCAAGAGAGTGCTGTCCTGCTCCTGTGGTGGAGAAGGGTGCAGAGACAGGCATCATAGCTGGGACAGTTGGGCTCTGGAGGTGCCCTGTGCCCCAGATCAGCTGCTCTCTCTTCCCAGAGGCCTTTGGTGTTCAATCCCTCTTCCCACAAAGGCTGGATGCCAACCCAGGTAGGTTACGGGTCAACTGTAATGGCAGAGACCCTTCCTCCTCTCCTTCCCCAACTCATATTCTTAACCATGCTTCTTCCCTTCCTCTTCCCTGCCTCCAGGCACTCTACCCTAGCACTCTCTCATTCCCCAATTCCTTCCTCTCCACTCCATTCATCCTCCAGCCTCTCTCTCCAGCCCCTCCGGAATAATGCTCCCAAAAGAAAAAGTTTGTGTACATTCAGCATTTTACCAATGCAACTGAGTGGTCTCTAGGTACTTCCTCTGCAAATGTTTGGTCTTCTCGGCCCATGTACAAGCTCCCCAAGGGCAGAAGCGCGTCTTACATATTACTTATCTCCGTGCTGGCTTCCAATAAGGCAAGCCCTGATGAGTCCTACTTCCAAGCCTTGGCCCACACTGTTCCCTCTCACCCTCTCCAAACCCTAGCCTTCGCCCAAGGCACAACTCTAAAGCCTTGCAAATTGACTGAATGAATCGACCAACCCATCAAGGTGAGAACGAAGGCCCAACTTCACGGACATAGGTTCCAAGTCTTTCACGAAGAATTCCTACAACACTAACCCAGCCCGGCCTGCTCTCTGGCAGCAGGTATGCAAATATCTCGGGGACCCCACGACATTCAGTCAATACCCTGTGACTTGGCACTCAATTATGCAGTGAGAAGCAGCCTGGCATCATGGACGAGGCTTGGACCAGGAATCAGCAGAGCGTGACTGCACACCTGACTCGCCCCCTCAAGTCATAAAACCGAACCGCAGTTTCCCCTCCGTACACTAGAAACAGTAC